ATTAAAGTATAAATAGTGAGAGTAGGAGGTGCGCGTGAGTCAATAGTACGGAAAAACGTAATAAAATAGTATAAGTTAGATAAATAGGAATAAATTATTTGTTAAAAAGGGTCAAAGATAAAGATTATAGATTACACTTACAATCGAAAGAGTGATGGAGATGTAGCGGTGATATTGAAATGATGTGTTGTGTACAATGATCTATGGTATACATTAAGCGAATCTTAATTCAGTGTGACTTTAAATTAGCTGCATACAAGAAATATTTTATAAAAGTCAAAGTTCAGAATCTTCATATCGGATACGTATTTCAATTTATTGGGTTACACACACATATCCAATCGAGTTTTGTGAACGTTCTGCTAAATCGTATCTCACTCTGGGAAAAAAGGTAGCAATCCATTTTGGGACCCGCAATTAGTAATCGAATTATTGGGATTGTTCGTATCTCTACTCTGGGAAAAACTTTGACCATTTTTTTGTAGTTAAGTGAAAATTATCTTTGCGTTACTGAATATCGACAGAACTAATTGAGAGAATTGATTAGTATTACTCAGAGTTGAGAAAGTTACTTTGTAAAAGTATCTAGTTACAGTTTTTTTTGCTAAAAATGTAACTAGTTACAGTTACAAGTTACCAATTCTGTGAAGTAACGTGTTACAGTTACAGTTACTTAAAAAGTGACGAATCGTTACTTTGCAGTTACTTTCTTGCAGTGAAAATAAAAATATCAACTCTGCATTTGAATTGTAAAGTGTCGATAAAGGCGTCCATGCGCAAATGCAAGGCCTAATGCGAGGTTTAAGATACATATAAAGTAACTATTAAATTAATGTAACTATTAAATTATTTACTAGTTATTGAAAAAATGTAACTGCGTTGAGTTACAGTTACATATGGAGACAAAGTAACGAAGTTAAGTTAGAGTAACCAAAAAAAGAGCAATTGTAACTGTAACTTCGTTACAAGTAACGAGTCATTTCCCAACTCTGGTATTACTTAAAAATCTTGGATATGTTATAGACAGAATAGCTAATTGCGATTTTTCGTTATGCGAGGTAAAATTCGTAAAAGATTAGAGCGTTACGAACAATCCAAATAATTCAATTACTAATTGCTGGCCCCAAAATGGATTGCTAACCGTCTTTTTTTTTCCCCGGAGCATTTGCGCTGTACTCGCGCATTTCCTGTGATCGCCGTCTGTGCGTGGGATTGCGTAACTATGCTCGTATCTTGTGAGAAGAGACTTGAAATTACAGAGCAAACCCGAGTCACGCGTAATGCCGCATAATCGCGCGGATTAATTGAATTCGTGCTGCGTACGACCGATGACCGTGGACGACGGCCGTATCGAGCCGCGTGCGCGCACACTGTACGCACGCGTGTATCACGCGTGTGCTTCACGAGCGTGCCAAACTTGGGATTGACTCAATGTCGACGATGTCAGCTGTGTCATGGTAGAGCGAGTGGAATAACGGCCGAGAGGAAAGATATATTGCGATCAATAATTATCTGCGGTTATCGTAGAATACATGAACGTGAAGTTACGTAATAAAATTCAACGCGGAATAAATGTGCTCTGTGACGTGGGATTTGATGCGGCATTCGCCGTATAAATTTGTTGGGAAAGCAAGAAAAAGTAAGAAAGTATGAATGAAAGTTCCGAAAAGAAAGTAACTTCAGTTCTTTTTCTAATTAGGAGATTATTTGGCAAGATGATGGATGAGATTCTGCACATTACTTATATGAAATCTATACAAGTTTTACAATCTTCAAACTTTAAATAATGATTTAATACTCTGTTTTTGCTGCCTTAATTAGGTGATCGTGTCAGGTAGTTTCGAACGTACCGTTTTATGTATAACATTAAAATTGTCAATTTAATGAATTCTCGTAGAATATATTTAAATTTATTAAGTCATGTGTCAAAGGGCGAGTGATAGAGTTACTTCAGAATTAACGAAACTAAGAGTTGTTTTAAGATTGTCAAGAATATAGATTGAAGCTTTGAAATATTTTCTTATGGAAAAGTTTTATACTCTCTGTGTCCCTCGAGATAGAATGAAAATATGAAAAATCACGCATGAATTTCGGTTAAGCAACCGTTCAATTATCTCGCCATACGAATTTACGACATGTCACGAGAAATGTCATTCGATTCCGCCAAACATGCTCGACGAGCATTGTCAAACACAGAATTCCTGTCGATTCCAGCTGCGTCGGGAAAAGAGCGAAAGGATGGAGTACCGATCGATGAGCGGAATGACGAAGAAGAAATATGGAAGGTGTGAAGACAGCAGCTGTGACGTTCGATGTCGGCTTTTTGCGAAGGTCTTTGTAGACCGGCCGTTATCCCGAAAACACAGTGCGTCGCGTTTTAATGAAAAATATTCGCCATCGCTTGATTTCAAGAACGGCCCCGCGATTTTTGCATTTTGATATTTTCTGTACCGCCTGAAAAAACGTCAGGCGAATAAATCACGCATCCCCCTTTTCATTTTAACCGTTTCAACAGTATAATTTCAACGGGATTTATTTTCGCTCTTCTATATACCGGACATCTTAAACGGAGTAGTAAAGTATTTATGCATAGAAAGTTTTTAATCAATTTCGAAATCGATTATCTGTCGAAAGTATCGGGGGAAAAATTACGATCCGTCGTAGTTCTTTCGCTTCGCGTAAATCAACCGCAGAGATCAGTTCCGTGTAGCATCGAAATCTCCGAACACGTTTGAAAATTGTGCTATTTTTAATTGCTAATTTGTGTCACGAGGATGGCGAAAAAGGATCGAATTATAATGTGGGAGAGAAAAGGGAACGAGGCCGAGCAGAGTTTTGCGACGTGTCCGTTAAGTCGAGCGTACAAAAACTCGCAACTCGACTAAACCCGTCGAAGAGCGATCCAGTTTCTCTCGTCAATCATCTTACGCGGGTCGCCGCGGCAGCTTACTCTCGCTCCGAAATTTCTTTTGCGTCACGAATTTTTATGCCATTGGCCGCAACTTGAATCGATTTTATAGCCAATCACTTTCCAAGAGGATGCCCGAAAAACTTGGTTTCTTTTTTAATATATACACAGCAATTTCCCAAATTAACTGGCATTTATATGTGTATTTTACTTAATCATATGTTTTTATTCAAAATTTTCTATTGATTTAACAATCATTGACATTTCTTTTTATTCAATACTTATTTGACACGATTCTTTATTTTTTAATTAATCCTTTCTCTAAAAATGCCATTTTTTTGAGATTATTGATTATTATATCAATTTAATGTTCTTTTTCACTACTACCGCTTGCGTTTTTATTGATGATTATTGCTTAATTACGCTGGTCCTGCAGCAACAAATAAGTCTTTTGCTCGCTTTCTCGTTTTTCCTTCGCTTTTAAATTGCAGTTTTATCCAGTGTACGATTATCCCATGGCGATCTATTTTCGCCGGTGTGCTAGTTCAATTCGTAATCCGATGCGGCCGATAGATACGGGTAATTTACCAATCCAGAGGACAGTTGTTTTTCCCCGATTCTCCTCGATTGATTGGCAATTTCGTCGAGCGCATTTGAAATCGATTCGAGCCGCCGTCGTCTAAAGTCAATCGCGCGCTAACGAACGCATAACGACCCCCGATAATCGAATGGATCTCTCGTTCTCGTATTTTCTATCTGGAGAACACACCTGATAAATTTTCGGGTTTGGCCGGGAATTTCGGACTCTACCAATTCGAACGCCTACACTCGATAACTTTAGGTTAACTGAAGGTTTTCGATTACGGGGAAATTCGCGAAATCAGTTTCCCCGTTTAATTTTCGATCTCCCAGCGATTCCAGCATTATTCAAGCTTAACAGCATCGATGCGAAATCGACAAGAAAGCCCGATATCGACTGACCTCGCATTGTATATTTTATGAGTTGGAAGCAGTTATCATCGACTTGATTATTGTTGTTACACAATGGTTAATTTTCTTGAACTCGCGCGCTGTATGTTGCTGCAATCTTACAAAATACCGTAGAACATTCGAAATCGTGTTATTATGACATCTCCGCGCGTTCTTCTCTCGAGAAACGACTTTTCGTCACTCGCTTTAATATGCGGAAAAGCAAAAACATGTTAAATTGACTGGGCGGGGTCGTTACTTGCTACAAGATTATCGGACGAAGTTTGGTTCCTGTAAGTTTAGGGCAGGCATCTCCCATGAAATTAGGTGGCGAGACCCTCATCCCGTGTTTCTGGAGCGTGCCCGGGCAACGCATCAATTTCTTGGCAACTGTGTCGTCGACGGAGATGAATACCAAATTGCTCCGCAAACCCATCCGACGACAGTTACTTCAATGACATTTAATCTGTTTAATATTAAGTTTGCCCTTCGTGTCTAATATTGCCTGAAAATTTTATATCTTATCTAAAAAATCGTAACGCACGGAGCTTTGAATTTCAACATTTGCGCTTACATATTTGGAACATTTTGTTTACTTTTGCCATCTGAGAGATACACATATACACATAGAAGTGCAGTTTATAGTTTCTCGACTAAAAACAAATATTATTCTCCATGTTTTTTTCCCCCGTCAATTAAAAAATGTTATTCTGGCAGGAAAATTCGTCGAACTGTCGAGGATTTTTTTCATTCTTATTTTCGTCACGCGCGATCTAAAATTTGGAAAATTTACGCAATTCTTAAAATTGCTTACCTTCGTTTTCGTTCCACTGAAATCCTTCGATTTTATTGTTTCCGAATTTTTTTCAACATTCTTTTTCTCGGTCCAAAATTTCTCTCTTCCCGAAATTCTCTGATCTCACCGTTTTTTTTACTTGGAAATTGTTCCCGAATGCCGATCTCATCGTTACGGATTCGCGCCGCGGAACGCGTGAAAATAATCTTTATACTTTTGGCATGGGATCCGGTTCGGAAGCGGAACCGGAATCCGGGCTGCTGATGGAAGAAAGAGGGAGAAAGAACGAGACAAGGACTGCCTCGGATGCGCATGTTCACTCGCAAGGGCGAAGCGGCGCTATAAACCGTTCCGGACGGTTCATATCGCGGCGCGCTGCCACCGCGGCAACACGTTTCCGCGAGTGCTCCGGCGGGGATCTTGTGCGAAACGAACAGCTGTTATCCGTTGTTTCTTCTCGATCTCTTGCCTCGTAGCTTTCTTAGGAAGGCCAGGGATCGCGCGGCACTGGCCGGAGCGATGTAGAACAATCGAGCCGTTCGATTACGAATTGATATGTTCTGGACGTGGTGCGAAACTGGCATCGAGATTTGTGAGTGAGGGACGAGCTCTCGAACGAGAAAAAGCTGGCGAGGCAGATCGTGACAAGAGGGAAGATCTCGGAGTTGCTGGAATTGCTGGTGCTGCGCTGGGCCAGGATGTCGTTCTTCAGGGGTTTATGGAAGAGCAGCTCGAAGCACAAGAGTGAGTTGAGTTCGGTTGCTCGGAAGCGGCAAGTTCGAGAGTAAGGGAAATCTTGGGGGACTCGGAATTCCAAATGTATAGCTAGACGAGTTTTTCAAGATGGATTAATCTAATTGTAAATGGTGGACATAAAAATTTCCTAAAGGGATATGTCGCTCGCGTCTTTCGAGGATTCTCAGCGATATTTGTATTCTTGTTATCATTGGCATTTGCGTCAATTTTCGCAAGGAAAATGTGACGTCCAGGTGATTCGCCGGGGAAACGTTTCCAGATTATTACTTTTCGTTATCAATTTAGCGGATCGGATAATTTTTAGTCGAGAATTTTACGGGGAATAATTGAAAATGGCATTTTCAAGCTGACTTATAAAAGCGAAATTGAATGTTACGCCGTAGCTTATTTGCAATTGTTAATCGTGAAACGCGAAGTTTATCGTGTAGTACATTTGGCGATAAAAACAAAATGCGAACGCAAGTTGATTGATTTAAGCGGCGTGTGGATATCAATTCGAGCAGTGTATTTATAGTCCAATAAAATTTTCGAAACTGGTTTTTAACGACCTGTAAAAATAATATGATTCAATGTTCTTCGGACTAATACTCGCTAATTCGCGTTACGAAAGATTAGATTGCGTGCAGGTGCGATATTTGTTTTTATTTTCTCCGGGTTTTCTAAGCTCTTTATCTTTAGCAAAAGAAACGCCACGTTTCTTATATATTTGCATCTAGAAATTAAAAGGATTGCGAAAGGAATAACTGGAAAATTATGTATACAGAATCTTAATACATTTTGTGATATCGTAATTATTAATATGTTGGTAGTCGGACAATTTTATACGTTAATGCACTGTCTTATACATTTTATA